GACGGCTACAGTGCTTCCGCCGCGCCGCTAGGGGGCAGCGCGGACGGATGAAGGAGCCCGAGCCAGAGACAACGAGATCTGGAGGTGCGCGGAGCCGGACGCCGAGCATCCTGGAGCCCAGCTTCAACATGTCAGTACCGCCCCCTCCCCACGCGCGGCGTGTCCGTCACCCTTGTTCCCGCGCTTCTGTCCGCTCCGTGCGTAAGGTCACGTGGCTATGTCGCTCCTCTCGCTCTCCCTGCGTCTGGGGTTCCCTCCCGGAGCATGCGGAGCCACACCCAACCGCTGTCAAGTTTCCCCGAAGCCCCCACCCCCAAAACGCCATGGTTCATGGCCCACTGGGAGGGAGGGGGAAACCGAGACACAGGAGGGTCAGGGCCGCCTATCTCTGAGAACCCAGGAACCCCGCCCACGGTGGGTTTGGTTGGTACGAAGGGGTTAAACCCGCGGGGAAGCCTGGGGTTCCTGGTCTAGATGCAGATCTTGGGGCTCCCTCCCTCCTGGTCAAGGGGTGCGGCTGCTGCCGACGTGGCTGGTTGCAGGTGAGGGGCTCGGAGGTGGCTGGTTGCAGGTGAGGGGCTCGTACCCTTCGGAGTGGACTGTGGCGTGAGGGGAGGGGCGAGCTGTTACTGACATTGGCCTCAAGCTCGGGAGCTCCTGAGGGGCTGGGGAAGGGAGCCAGGACGTCTCCTCTGGTGAGAAGGTGAGTAGAAGAGTGGGGAGCAGCGCGCCTCCCTCAACCCCCACCATATGCCAGAAATCCCCCCAGCATGGACCCCTGCCTGCAGGGCTTGGGGCAGAATGGGCCAACAGTGGGGTTTGGGTGCAGGAGGTCGGGCCCCAACCTGGTGGCCGTTGGACCCCATGGATGTAGGAAGGAAGCTGTGGTCCTTATCTTGAGCGGCTACGGAAGACACCCCGGCCGGTGGGGAGCCAGGCTTGCAAGAGCCCAGTGTGTGTGGCCTTGAGCAGGGCCCTGTTGGTGCTGCTGGGGCCCCGTCTGAGGGGACAGTTGGCTCCATGACCCTCCGAAGGGTCCTGAGAGAGAAGGAGGTGTGATTGTGGACGCACAGGTTAGACGGAAGCCGTTCTGGCTTTAACGATGGAGAAGGGGCCATGAGCCAAGGAAAACAGGTGCCTCTAGAAGCCGGAAAAGGGCAAGGAAATGGGTTTTTTCCTGGAGCCCCCGAAGGGCCCAGTCCTGCAGAACCTTCACTTCAGCCCAGGGAGAACCATTTCAGGTGTCTGCCCTCCCAAACTGTTACAGGAATACCTTTGTATCGCACGCACGTGCGCGCGCACGCCCTGAGCTGGGCTGGGCTGTGTTGGGGAGGGGCCGTGGCTGTGTCCCAGGCCAGGAAGCCCATCCAGGGAGGGGAAAGAGCCTGACGGGTGAGGGAGGGGCACAGCAGCCCCCCCGCCCCCCGTCTGATATGTGGCGGCATGGCCCACGGGGTGTAAAAGTGTGGCCTGGAATTCGGGGATGGGAGCAGCTCCTGAGGACAGCCGTGTTGCCTCCGGAAGGAGCCCTGGGTGGCTGTAAGCAAAGGGGTCATTGCGTCTGCTTTGCATGTCCTGCCTGATGGCCAGCCAGTCGCGATGCTGTAGGGCTAGAGCAACTGTCCTGGGGAGGACAGTGCTGCAGCCAGAGCAGCCGGGCCAGGGCTCAGGCCTCGGCCTCCATCCAGCGCGGGGCGGGGCACCGGAACCCATCCCACTGAGTCTGCCCCCCCCCATAGGTCCCTCCAGTTCACCTGCACTGTCAGGTGAGCTTGGAAACAAGGTGCAGCCCTCCACTCCTTTGCTCTAG